CAAATCCTTTCCCATATCTGTGCTTCTGGATGTGCAACCATTTCATCTGGTGTACTGGAGGCTCAGCAAGTAGTTTATTCACATCAGACACGTGTCTCTTGTACCACAATCTATTTTCCAAGCTAAATCAAGAGGAATTAAACATACTTCCAGAAATGAAGTATTTTCACACCACTGTGTTCATGTGTAAATATACCAATTTCCTTCAACTCAATGAACTTGCTGCATAAGCAAAACAGCATTCCTGTGTATTCAGCCAAGCAAAGAATTCATTTCTTCTACATAAAACGACATGTTGTCATGTGTCAGCTCTTACGCAAGCAGAAAGCAAACCCACATTGACTGGAAGGTGGCAAGGAGTTACTTAAGCATTCACTGTGTTATCTTTCTGTTATCTCTGGACAACCTTCGAGTAACTTCTTTAAATCACAGCAACTTCAGCATGATAAAATACCTATTGCAGAAAGCTAGACGAAGAGCACACACGGGGTGAGAAATACTGTAAAAGCCAAGCGCTCTGTCTCCTAGAGCAGTGTTTGGATTACAGTGGGGGATCACCGAAGAACAATGCTACAAACAGAAAGTGGTCTGCGACATCAGACAGACCCTTTCCCTGGGTATGATGTTTATTTATACTTCTACACCTAACTATGCAAGGTTATGAGAAATGGAGTGACTGACAAGGCTGTCCAGACACCCGCATTACAACTCCAGCAAGATTCAACAGGATGTAAGATAATCCAAAATGAAGGCACAAAATGGTCAGGAACAAAAACCAGAGCTAGCTGTGCAATAACTTTCCTCTTGCCCTTTTCTTCTTCCAAGAAAAAAATACGGCTTTGTAAATTCACTGCAAACCTTACCCTGGAGGACAATTAACAAGGCTTGTTGCAGGATTTATCTTTTCTGGGCTTAATCACCCAGACATTTTTACTTGTCACAAATCAAAATAAAGCCTGACCTATATACATTGCTAGTTGTGGCACTTCTTGTTAGCTTTAATAAAAAACAAACAAACTCACTCAACCTCCTTTGTAATGCATTTTCTGGGTCAAATTCTTGTGTTGCTCACGAAGGAAGTACTTTCAAAGGAGCACTGCATCCTGGCTCTAACTAGTGTTTTTTGAAATTCAGTAAGCAAATGTCACTTGGCAAGCCTTGAAAAACCTTGCAGTCAGAACAAGGTAAAACAAGAAAATTGTAAAAGATCCAGCACCTCATCCTGCTCTCAGCAGGTCAGGAGAACGTGTTAACATCACCTTTGCCCACAGGTCAGGGCACTGAACAGGCCGTGGCTGTTTCTTACAAGCCTCACGTACTGGAACGCAGACAACCGCAGGGTGCAGATCGCGAGCTGCCTGCCAGCACAACTACTCTGCCAGCCCTACAAATCATTACAACAAAACTGACATGGCACAGAGCCAGCAGCTTAACACCTTGGACTTCTTCCTGCTGAAGCTACCACAACAATTACTTACCTAAATCAGAAAAGAAACTCTAAGCAGGGTCACAATCCTATTGTGCTCAAACGCACACAATTTCAACCCCTGGGAATTCATTTATAAGCAACACTTAACCTCTAGGAATCCAGCAAACTGCATTTGGTAAAGAACTTTAAGAAACAGTTAGAGGTTCTTAGGTCTTAAGTTACAGCTGTAGAACAGATAACGAAGACTCAAGTCCAAATGATTTCTACTCCTGTCAGAAATAGTGGTGATGGCAATTAGTTCTCTAGAAGTATCAGATTCTCACTGGAACATACTGGCAAACCACTGTAATTGCCTGCACCTCCAATCATGTCATTAGCAGGTCACCAGGGGAAAGAGTGGTTATGCTGACACTGTAGCTGTTATGAAAAAGCCCTGAATCCAATCCAATGGCAGTGAAAGTTTTCACCACCTCCTCCACCCACAGAAACATCCTTCACTTCCATTCACGTTGTTTCAGCTCACCCATGATGAGTGGCAGCCACTGGACTAAACACCAGAGAGCTGCTACAAGTGCTGCTGAGATGGAAACTGGCTGCTCTGATGTTAACGATATTTCTTTGGACAAGTGCATGGTCAGGAATTAAGAGCTAAGTGGAGTGGTTGGGAACTTGGCTTCCCAGCTGCGGGGTGAGGTGTGATACTACACACATAACATGGCCCAGCTTTGCTATGTTACAGGAGTCTCCCTGAAATACCTAAATGCAAACAGGGTAGGGCAATGTGAAAAGTTGCAACTGCATTTTCATAATTACCCATTTCCTCCTGTTCTCTGGAGAATTCCAGATGCTCCCCAAGATAAACGGCCTGTATACATATACAAACTTACCAGCCAATGACAGATTTTTTAGGTTTGTATCAGAACATGAGCTGCTTGCAACTCCTCGGAGTCCAAGCTCACTGCCTTCACAATGACACTTCACTGTCCCACAACACCAACACCACCTCCGCCTTCATCCTTCTGCGCTGAACTCCTGCTCCTCTCCTTAACAACTGCACATAAACCTCATGAAGTCGCCTTTCCACACACACGCCACATGTAACAGTTCCACAACCATTACTTTTCCCTCACAACCTCACTGCTTACCTGTGAGACGAGGCGAAGGTGGCACAAGACTTCATATCCAGCGAAGGGTCTGATAAATCCAACTTAAATATTTCTAGAGAAGCACTTGTACTGAAGGTTGCATCCAGCTGCTGAGCTGATGTACCTACAAAGAAGCATGCTTGGCAGTGAGAAAGCCATGATGTACAAAGAACAACTGCAAAAGCCGCACAAAGAGGGCATAAAACCATCACCCTTGCAAAAAGGACCCTAAGATGGGGTCAAGTTTCTGTTATTTAGATGTAGTTCGATATAACTCTCCTCCCCATGGTTCCTCCTTTGGGGCTTTCTTAACCAATATGAACAGGAAAAGCCCTGGGCAAGCACCCCTCTCCCTGACAATACACAGAAAACAATCCAAGTTACAAATGAGCTGAAAGGGAAAGTGAATTAGCAGTTAGGATTGCTGTCACCCTACCCTGGCAGAAAGAAGAGGATGCTTGCTGTCACTTGCAGAACCCAAAGCACGTTTTCATGCACGGCACAAGTGGCAAACTCCACTAAAGGCACTGCACCACATACCCTGCTGCAGCCTTCAGGACATGAAGTAACTCCAACAACTTTCAATTATGACCACTTCGTGGCAGCCACCACATGTAGCCCGAGGCCTGATAGCACACACTTCCCAGAAACTCACCTGTGGCCAGGTAAATGGGGTGCTGCTGGGCAGGGCTCCATGCCTGCATGGCAGTACGACTAATTTCCTTCAGCTTCATCTCACTAAAAAATAAACCCAAAAAACGTAACGATTAAACGGGGCATGGGGATGTTGCACTGCCACGGATTCAGCAGCTGCATTCGGACTTGGTAAAAGCAGCGAGGGTGATTGTTTCCCTAAAGAAATCCCACAGACCGACACCTAAGCTATCCCTTCCAGAGCAGAGCCAGGGGGAAGGGGAGGAATAACTCTCTGCTGGCAGAACATCGGCGCTTGAGGAAACAGACGGCTGCTGAACAGACTGTAACACAGGAAAACGTGAGCAAAGCTTCACCTGTTCTGAAAAAAACACCTTCTAGCAGCATCAAAGCACACATCGGGCACCCCACGGCAGCTTTCAGCCTCAACCCACCCTCGAAAAAACCCTCACTTAGACCCTCGTCGCCAAACACCTTCAGCAGCCAGCCGGATCAGAGAGTGAAAAACGGTTTTAAAAGCCCCCACTGCCTCATTTTTGGTTATTTCTTCCCATACCTTGAGGTTCTCCCCCGGCTCGGAACCACCGTGCGCGGTCAGGGCGCGACGGAGCCCACGAACCGCCTCGCCGAGCGGGCGGCCGCTACGCCCCGCTTCCCGCGGGGGCTAAAGGGGGGAAAAAAAAAAAAAAAAAGGTGGAAAACTGAAAGTTTCCCTCCCCTCTTCCTCCCTTACCTCCGCATCCCCGGCGCTCCCCCGTCCCGTTCCAACGTGGCAGCCGCGGCACCGCCTCCGGTTTCCGGGCGCGCCCCGCGCCTTCCGGGCGGCGGAAAACGGGGCTCCACCTTTCCCTGCGTGGGACACGAGTGGGTGGTCGGTGGTGGGGGGTGCAGCCTCCTCCTTCGTCAGGGTCTCCCCACTGGGTTCCTCGGGGCAGGAGCAGCGATCGGCTCTAAGGAAGAGGAAGAGGGGCGTTAGGGGCGGCGGACCCTCCCCTCCGCGGCTGGGGTGCGTGTGGGAGGAACGGCGAGGGGGGGGAAAAAGCGCTCGGTTGTCGCCTGTCCTCAGCTCAACGGCTGAAATCACGGCGCTGTCATGATGTGAACAGCAGTGAGGCTCATCATCGGACAGGGCCCACGAAGGGCGGGGGGGGGGTGGGGGAAGAGTTGGAAATAGTACCGACACGCGTTGAGTGAACGACCCAGCGGCTTCCACTCGCGGGCTCGGGTCGCTTCCAGCCCCCGACCCACCTTATAGGGACAGCCGGGACTCAGCCCCGCTCCCGCCGCTCGGCGGGGCGGGCGCCGTGCCCGGGACGAAGCGCTGCCTCAGCGCCATGGCGGGGCTGCGGCTCCCGCCTCAGAACCGCCGGGAGGCGGCCCGGCCGCCGGGCATCCCTCAGCCCGGGCCCCCGCCGCGCGCTCCCCTCACGCAGGGGACGGGCAGACAGACGGCGGGAAAGGTGGCGCGGCACCCCGCTATATATTGGCGGATGGAAGCGCTGCTCCCATTGGCTGCGAGCGTCGCCCTTTGTCATTGGCTGCTGCTTCCCTCCTCCCCGGTTGGCTGGGTTCGCTTTCCGGTTCCCATCATCCGTTTCCCGGCTGACGTCAGCCGAGGCGGAAGCGCCGCGCTGCCGCGAGGAGGCTGGTAACGGCGCGCCGTGACCAATGGAGGGGCGGCAGCTCCCGCCCCCCCCGCCCGAGGGGAGCCAATGGGCAGGGGAAACCGGTGGAGGGCGGGCGGGTGGCAGCCAATGGGCGGGGCGCGGCGGTGGCGGGGCGGCCATGACGCGGAGCTGCTCGGCCCTGGGCTGCACCGCCCGCGACAACGGGCGGAGCCGCGAGCGCGGCATATCCTTCCACCAGTGAGTGATGCGAATCGCAACCCCCCCCCCCCCTCCCCGGTGTATCCTTCTGCCGGCGAATACGGCCGACCCCCCCGGTCCCCTGCTCGCCCTCCCGCGTCTTTCTCTCCACCCCTCCCTCCCCCCCCCCGCAGATTCCCGGTGGACGCCGCGCAGCGCCGCGAGTGGATCCGCGCCGTGAACCGCGTGGACCCGCGGAGCCGCCAAGCGTGGCGGCCCGGCCCCGGCGCCATCCTCTGCTCGCGGCATTTCGCCGAGGCCGACTTCGAGCGCTACGGGCTGCGGCGGAAGCTCAGGCGGGGGGCCGTGCCCTCTCGCTTCCCCACCCCGGTTCGTGTCTGCGGGGTGGGTGTGTGTGTGGGGGGGAACCCCGCGCTGGCAGGCGGTGACCTCCCCTCTCCCCCCCGCCAGGAGCCGCCGGGCCCCGCTCTGAGGGGGCCCCTCCCCAGCCCCCCCGCCGGCGACCACAACTACAGCCTGCAGGGCCAGCGGGCAGCCGGGGGGGGGGCACAGCCGCAGCCCCCCGCCCCCCCGAGGCCCTCCCCGCCACGGCGGCTCGCAACGGTGGCAAACATCCTGCGGGAGCTGGTGGAGAAGCGGCACCTGCCCGAGGAAACCGTGGGTTTGCTGCGAGCCCAGTTTCCAGGTAGTGCTGGGGGCTGGCGGGGGGGGGGGAATGCTGGGGAAGGGAGAGCGCTTAGGGGGTGTGCGCGCTCCCTCACCCCCTTTTATGTTGTTGACTTCATGGCTTTGGTAATCCCTGAGCGTTAGACGGCGAGGTCCGGCGGTGCTGTTTGTAGGTCTGTAATGCCACGGCCGATCGTGGGAAGAATTAAAGTTTCCCTGAAAAATGCAATGACTTGAGCCCGGCGACAGTGCTCAGGTCAGACCTGTAACCAAGGCTGTTAAATCAAACCGTGCCACCCTTCAGCTGACAGGTGACCCAAGAATAGAGCTTATTTAACTAGGCAAACCTCACCTTTTGTGCTGTCCAGAAGTAAGCTTTGTTAATAATACAACTCGAAGAAGCCATTTCAAATTGTAGACTCAACCGTTAGTGGCGTCTCTCTGGTTACAACAATTTTTAAGTAGCACCCACATGTAAGACACAGCCTTTCTTCAGAAGTGTAGAATGACATTAGATAGAAAAAAAAATGGGTTTGTATTATGCATCTGTTAAGTCACCAGCTATTTATTGCTTTGCTAAAGCTGACCTATTTTTTTGTTTTAAGCAGATTTGCCTTGTGAGTTGCACAGCTGGAGGCAGATGACAGACTACTCACCAGAAATGAGGCAATTTGCTTGTATTCTCCACCTCTACCATATTAAGGCCTATGATTATCTACGGAAGATTTTTCCCCTCCCTCATCCTTACAGCCTGACAAAGCAAGTTTTATATTCATTCATTAAAAATGTATTCCCAGGTACTCATGTAGGTGTAACATGTTCTGAAAACATTCAGCGGTAGTAGTTTTGCCCTGCTTTGTTTTAGTAACAGAAGCAGAGAGGGAAGCAAATGTCAAGAAATACTGATACCGCTCACCTCAGAGAGCTTCTGTGTGTTCATGCATGTGGGTCACGGCCTGAGAACAATACACTCCTCACAGTGATAATTTTAGAGTATGTGTGGAGTTTGCCAGGTATTGCTGGCTGGGTATGGGTGTGAAAAAAGCTGCATTTTGGGGCCTCAGCTGCTGTAGGTTTTATATGTTTTACTGGCGCGGCAGGAAGAATAATAAAAAAAAAAAGCAGAAGTGCTTTAATCCATTGGCACATGTTCTTGCCCTGTGATGTGCAGTGCAGATGTGCGAGAGGAGAGGGAGGAGTCAAATAGTGGAAGGAAAGGCAAATACGAGTAAGGGCATCTAAAAAGAAGCAGGAGGAGGCAGTGTTAAAGGAGCACTTGCAGTACTCCACCAGCAGCCAAAACCAAAGGAGAGATGGACATGCACAAGAGTCAGTAGAGGAAATCAAAACCAATAGCATATTCTGGAAAAGGGAGAATTCAAGAACAGAACATGAAAGTGAAAGACAGCTTTGTTTTTTCTCACCTTGCCCTACAGGGAATCTTGGCAGGTATCTGTTTCAAAGTTATAGAAGGGAGATACTTTTGTATCACCTAACTCAGTTGCGTAACCCAGTGCAAGTAGGTAGGCTCAGAATTTACCTGAAGTGCTGTCAGACCCATTAACAAGGAGTGATGATGTAATAGCACACAAAAATTGAAGAAACTGTCCCTCTACAGGTTTCGAGTCTTGAACTCCCGTAGTGTAGGTGTAGGATGCCCAACAGAGACAAGCATTGTCCACACCAGGCTGTGGGAGTTTCACACAGCTTCTTCCAAAGAACCTGCTTGAGGGAGTGCTGGGAGGTTGTGGATGGAGAGTTTATTGAGGAGAGTAGCGTTCCCCAGGGGCTGCCAAGGCTTTCACATCATCTAAACTGGACTACAAAGTACAGTGCAGAGAAAGCCAGTTGGGAAGGAGAGCAATCTGGTGTTGCTGACCCTCTGCACAGCCTGATTTGCACTTGTGTGTTTAGTTTAACTTTTTTTTTTTTTTTCCCCCCTGTTGTCCTGATCTGTACGTGGGAGAGGCAGGAAGCTGCTTTGTTACTTCTCACCACGGTCGGTACTTTTGCTTGTCTTCCCATCACTAGGGTGTGAGAAAAGAGACTCAGACTATGCATTATGGAAGTCAGGGCTGGTTGCTTTATGCTCTGCAGCTCCAGCCATGGCTGACCACATGCTAAAAGTAGTAAAAGGTGCTGACTGCTGCTTCAGTTTTCGCAGAATCAAGTCTCCTAACTGCATCCTCCCTTTTTTTCCCCAGTTGGCTGTCTAATAACGATGCCGCTGCAGGCTTCAGCAACGACATTTTTCTCCGCCTTCAGGAAAAGGTGGAGAGAGGGGAAGAGGCCTACCGCTACTGCGCCCTGATGGTACAAGACGTGTCCCTGCAGAAGGGGCAGGAGTGGGACCCGCAGACCCAGCGCCTCACAGGCTTTGTTGACTTGGGAGCAGGTGTTCTTGATGCAGACGAAACTCCGCTGGCCTCCGAAGCGATAATCCTCATGGCAGTTGGCATCTCAAGTCCCTGGACAGCTCCACTGGGCTACTTCTTCGTGAACAGCACAACCGGCCACTTACTTGCTCAGCTGCTTCGTCATACCATCAGCAAGCTGAACAACAGCGGCATCCTGGTGCTGGCTGTGACATCAGGCGCCACTGCGCGCGGTGCTGAGACTGCCAGAGCTCTGGGGATCAGGATGGATCCTGAAAGGATTCAGTGCACTTTCCAGCATCCGCCCGGCTCTGCTCACAGCATCCCATACTTCTTTGACGTTTGGCATGCACTCCAGCTGATAAGGAACGCTTTGCAGTGCTTCCAGAAGATAGAGTGGCTCAGTGACACTGTGGAGTGGCAGCACGTGGTGGAGCTGGTGGCTTTGCAGGAGTGGAGGGTGTTAGAGCCACGCAGCCCCAAGTCAGGCGGACCTGGGAATAAGGAGAGTTACCACCTGAAGGTCAACCTTGCTACCCTGTTGTTCAGCGAGGGTGTTGCTGATGCACTGGAACACCTCCAGAAGCTGGGCCTGGCCTCATTCCAGAACTGCAATGGTACTGTCAAGTTTGTGCGTTTGATGAGCCGCCTGTGTGACGTATTCCATGGCAGAGGTTCCTATAGAAGGGGACTGAAGGAGCTTTTGCTAGCTGGAAATTACAGCAACATCAGCCACCTCTTTGATGAAGCCAAGAGCTTCTTTGTCACCCTAACGGACTCTATGGGGAGATACATTATCAAGAGCAAACGCAAACTAGGATTTCTGAGTTTCTTACTCAATGCTGAAAGCCTCAAGTGTCTTTACACCAACATGTGTCCGGACGGCGCTCCTTCCCACCACCTCCTGGCCTGCATCTTCAGCCTCGACCCGCTGGAGCTGTTTCTCAGGGCCCTCTGGCAAGCCTGCGGCAGCAGCGGGAGCCCTACCTGCTCTGGGTTCCAGGCTGCTTATCGCAAACTGCTGGCCAGCTGCAGTCTGGCACCGGGCTCTCCACCCAGTGGTGCCTCAGGCAGTGCAAGCTCCTTGGACATAGCTCTGTCTCGGAGGAGAGATCTGACCCTCGGCAGCATTCGTGCTCAGTATAAGCCAGCTCGCGGCGGGACGCTGGCAGAGTACCCCGGTTGTGCAGGGCTTTTTTTGCACAGCTCGGCCCTGAGTAATGCGCTGACCGACCTGTCGCTGCATGCACAGAGCATCACCTGCACTGCAGGCTTCGTTGCTGAGCAGTTAGCCTCTGACTTGCAATGCGAGGCTTGTCTGGCTTCCCTTTTTGAGTCAGATGAGAGCAGGCTAAGATACAGGTCAGTGCTCTACATAAAAAAGTTAGGTGGAGTGAGTCTGCCCTCAGCCAGTGTGTACCACGTAGCAAGCGTTTTGGAACGAATCCTAAACCGATATGACAAGGTAGGAGATACCAACCAAAACCCCAAGCGATGGCATTTGTCTCTAGAACAGAAAGTCTTCCAGGAGCTTCTGGGAGCAAGTCCCCTCTTCCCCACCCTCACAAACCATTTATTTGAGGGGGAGCTGTGTATCAACAATCACTACACAATCTTAGTAAAGGAAATAACACGGTGTTACCTAAATATCAGAACAAACCATGCCACACACCTGAACTTGACATACCATTGTGGAAGGCACAGATTGAAGAGACTGAAGGGAAAACATTTGTTTCCATCACCGCTGGGTAGCTGTCAAGTCAAACCCCCATGGGGTCAGGAGTACTCGCTGCTATTCCAAGGATGACTGGCCCCTAGTGGGGTTCACTGATGGCCAGATCTAGGTAACGCACGCGAGGAAATGATGTGGTGTCTTCCCAGGATTTGGCCAGCAACACTGGTGTTGATAAGCGATGATGTGTTGGGCCATTGCAAACAATCTGATCAGAGTTTGAGCAAAGCAGGGAGGTTGATCTGATCCCGTGTTCCATCTAGCAGTCCTGCAGAGCAGCCACATATTTCGTGAGACTCACATGTAAGGTCAGAAGGAGTAAAGGTTGCTCAGGATGTCTGGGGAAGTGGTAGGGGACACTGCAGAGTATCTGCTGGAGGTGCTGGTTGGCTCAGTGCTGTGAGTGCTCCTGCCAGGAGAAAACGAATGCATCGCCCACATCATTGGGAGGCATGCATGTGTGCTGGCAATTTGTTTTCACCAAAGCAGATACGCTTTAAAAAAGCTGGAGGTAAGAAAGCTCGCCAAACTTTTACTTAAAAAAGGAAAATAAAGACATGAAAAGCAAATGGCACTCAAGTTGTATACAAGCTCTAATCTCCACTCCTACACGTTTCATCAAGCAGCTAAACCTGTTTCAGTCTAGATCCCTTGGAGGGGGGAGTATAGTATCAAACCGCACCCCTGAAGGCCCATGTTTTACAAGTGAGCTGGTGGCTATGAAGCAGAGAGGCTGTTGTCTGTGAAGGTGAGTGCAGTGCTGAGGCTGGGCCCAGGCTGTTGTGCCCAGCAGCACCCAGGGGCGCCGACACCCTCCTCTCGGGGCAGGGGCCCCAGTGCTGCAGCCCAGGGAGCCTTTCAGGTCCCATTGTATGGGGTCACCCATTCAGCTGTGCCACACGGTGCCATCCTCCCAGAGCTGGCGTGTCCCCTGCAGCCCAGGGCGCGAGGCAGTCTCCTCTTCAGATGTTTCCACTGATTACTGGAATCACACATTTGATGCCGCTTCTTCAGTCCGTTCACTTCCATGGCAAGGAAGCTGCCCTGGTATGCAGTGCTTTACCTGGAAAACCAAAGTTTGGCGTAATTGCTGCTCCATGGCTTCCTTCTGCCATGCAGAACAGCAGTTGTGTCTATCGAGTGGGAAGGCAAAGTATCTCTCACAAAACTCTGGCTGCTCAGTTACTTTCAAGCTGTATGTTGGAGATGGGATGAGAAATGGTGATTGACCATACCCCAGGGCAGGGATAATACCCAAAGTACCAGTGCCTTTACAAAATCAATCCCGGTCAGTTTGGGTTCTTTCTCTTCCCCTTAGTTCTTACTCATGGTGGGAGCAGAGCTGCTGCACTCAATTCCTCAAGCTCTGCTTTGAACGCAGCAGCACCACAGAACTTGTGTTCTTTGCTGAGAGTAGCAAACCAAAAACCTCTAGACTTTTTTTTTTTTTTTTTTCAGTCCAATTACCTATGTAGAAAGGCATGTTGATTGAAGCTGTCACTGCAATGGAGCCATTCCATCTACAAGAGACTCTGCAGGAAACTGTTTCCCTCCTATATACATGCAATTTTGAGGACAACTGGCAAAACGTTGCTGAAATCCCAGGGGTAGATTGGTTGCACTCCCATAACGTTATAACGTTTGTGTTCCCTGAACCTCCAGCCCCAATATGAGCTGAGCCATCGGGAACAGGCACTTCTTCCCTCTGCATTTTTATCAGCTGCTCATAAGCCTGCTGCAACTTCTTGTTGACGTCTGAGGGATCTTGTCTGGCTCGATTCATACCAAGCTTCCTACCGAGCAGGAAGCTATTGCATGAGGATGCACATGAGCTCCTGGCTGCTGGGGTGAAGTTAGGCACAGGGCAGGCGTGCTGTGCACAGGGCTCCCCCATCTGAACTTCTCATGGGTTTTGTGCGCTTGCTGCTGCTGAGTGAATTGAGCTGGAGACAGCTGTGCAGCCAGGCTGATGTCAGGCTCTGGGCGTTGCCATGGCTGACCTGCCTGTACCCGTGACCACCACATACCCTTCTGTAATTCACAGAAATACTGATGACAGAGGTTTTCAAGAGATGCTGAGGAAATTTTACAGGCCTTGGCAGGATGATGTCTGAGCAAAAAATGTGGCAATTACGTGATTAACAAAGCCATCCAATACTATAAGAAAGCTTGATGGTTACAGGAACCCTGTACCAATTGTCATTATTTTCCAAAAATACAGACCTGCTGTTGCCCACCACAAATACTGCTGGCTGTACTGGCACTGCAGGAACAGTCAGGTATCCGTGGAACTTGTTGGCATTCATAACTCCACAATTACAACCAAGTTCTTCTCTGCACCACTCATTTTCCCACTATGTCTTCTGGACACTGCTTTCTCTTCCCAGCAACTCCTCGCTCAGACATTGACCATTTCTCCAAAACACACTCACTCTTGCCCTCCATGAGGTTCATACAAAACCACCCCTAAGTCACTCTGAGCACCTCACTCCCTCTCTCAGTCCTCTACTGCAGTCTAAGGTAACCAACAGCCTTCTCTCCCAGCAGATGTTGTACTGGGGGAAAAAGCTCAGTCCAGTAACATCTTTTGTTCGCTCAACATCCTACCAATGCTCGCAAGACTCCCTGAGCATTGATCGTACACTACCTTTACCAAGCTGCTAAAAAAAGCTGAACATAGAAATTGGATGCACAAAAACAAAACCAGGTTTTACTTCGTAGAAACAAACGACAAACTCTCTTAACTGACTTGTATTCCTTAATGCAACTGAGTAATACAGGTGTGCAAGGGCTGCTCACAAACCTCCTCCCCAGGAGACAAATAAAAAGACACAAGTGCCACAAGAAAACAGTGCATTGCATCCTGCTAACAAGCAGCCTACAGCTCTCAGCAAAGCTCTGCCTCAAGGTTTAGCCCAGGGTCCTCATTCAGCTGTGTAGCACCCTGCTGTCTGTCTTCAGGCATGCTGCAGAATGGCCTTGTGTGTCCTGCTTGGCCTAACGCTTGACTAGCCAGTGCACATGAAAAAAAAATAGGCTTTCTCGTTAAAGAATTTAAAAGAAATTAAGAAAGTATCGTGTGGGCTCAACTACCTGGTGGTGGCTCGGTTGACACATTTTGGCCCTTCAGGAACCGTGCCACAATAGGCCATGAGCTGCTATGCGTGACAGCATGCCAGTAACCAAGGTTTATCTCTGGTAGGAGTCAATCTCATAATGGAAATCCAAGCCAGTACTTGCATCAGAAGTAAGCCTAGTTTTAAGAGATTTATTCTGGTATTTCAGTCAAAATCTGTGTCTATTTTTCACTGCTGAAGGAAAGGAGTGCAAAAAAAAAAAAAATCATATTTACAGAATAGTATAAATGTTTATTTGTCTTTGTGATTTATCTGACTGTTTTATTTGTACAATATAGAAAAGTGTATTCTTTGAATAGGTCTAGTAAATATAAATTTAATTTTCCTACTTTCTGATGTAGACAGAACTAGAAAATGAACCCTTGCCCCATTCCCAATTATTTTTATGTAACTGGATGAACTTGACTGTAAATCTTGTGCAGCAGTTTGATGCAAATGGCTAAGGAAGTACAAAAAACAAATTCACACATTCTGCACCAGGGAGAAGGGAGAGAGGAACTCAAGCTTAATATTTGAGAAAGCTTGTTCGAAACAAAATAGAAGAACTAAGAGCATTTGATTGCACCTTCAAAGTCTTTACAAGCAAAATATTCTCAAGCAATGCCATCATACATAATTACAACTGTAATCTAAATTTCACAAGTGTTTTTGCACACTGTATATAAATACACATCACAAAAGGTGCAATTTAGAGTAAGACACAGATTATATACAAAATTAACAGATTGGAGTCTAAACAAAAGAAGGCATATTGCAATCTGTTTGAAAAATAACGTAAGTAGGTATTACTTTATTCACTTACGCTAATTTACATTTATACAAATCTTACTGGACGTACTATGGTCACTAGAAGTAAACTGAATATCTGCACTATCTACATGTAAAGTTACCGCACTGATTTTTTTTTAGTAAATCCAAGTCTTAATTATGAAAAAAATGGCATTTACTTACACAAGAGGTGGATTCCCTTTTCAGAGATTTGCAAAGATACACTTGCTATTTATGCTCAAGGAGATGTTACTAGCAGACAGGGCCCTTCAGACGGTGACTGGCAAGTCAAACCTTGTCTGCGATGGCCACTCGCCAGGCCTGCCACTGCAGCTGGCCGCCCCCCCGGGACCTTCGGGCCCCCGAGGCATTTCAAGGAGGCACCAGAGAAGGGGCAGGGAGAACGGGCATCCTGCTCAGTGCACAGGACCATGGGGTGAAGACGAGTGGAAGCGTCCTCCCATCCTGTCGCCATCACACACGTAGGCACTTAGCTCTGCTGCTGGTTTGCCTAGCCCCTACCTTTCCCCAGCCTGGCTCAGCTAGAAAAGCTGGAGGAAGAGCTCTGCTGCATTACTCCGTATTTACAGCTTTACACGAGGAATATAAAATCCGTTTTGGAAAAAACCTAGCTAGTTCAGGCTGCAGTGAGACAGGTAATAAAAACGCCTGTGATTAAACACGGGTATTGATGTTCACGGTAGTAAGTAACCTACCAGGTTAATTTTGCAAACGTGTTACACTATCAAAAATGTGATCTGAGATTGCCTGTAACAAATACTGAGAAAATCCCCTGCCCTAGTCTATACACAGCTATAGTTAATTCCCCCGCCTCCTGGCTTTGCATAAAAGGATCCATGCATCTGTTTTGGTAGCAATCCTGATTCTGTGCTAGCATCATCTCAGATCACAGCTCTCACAGTCATTCTATAAAAATACTAAAAAACCTTACGCCAAGTAAATTGCCAATATACAGAGAAGCAGCATCCTGAAGACCCACAGCCAGGCTGAACATGATCCCTACCTGTGTTTGCAAGTCGATTTGGATGCAGATTGTCTCAAGTCCTCATTAAGACAACTGTGGTTCCACCATCTCCCATGACCTCAGCTTCACAGACTTTTCCAGGGTGATAGCTCAATCCTAGAAAACACAATGGACTGCACAGCCCTAGCTCTAGTGAGGGGTGAGGCTGCTGCAGACCTCTGAAAAAGCAAACTTCACCTAAGCAATGCAACAGCATCCGTCTGCTGCACGCTTCGGTAATGCTGTATGCTGGGCAGACTTCGGCATTGTGGCATGGCTGCTCTTCCTCACTCCTGAAAACACCACTGTTTTAGCCTTCGAGTTCCAGCTTAAGAGACATCTGAGCTCTCAGCCACATTCCTACAAGAAAATTCCCACTACCTCCATTCACCTCTAAACTCCTTGGGCCCCGTTCCAGCGAGATTCTCCACCGCTTGCCCAATACTAAATCTGCAAGCAACCCCTCTGTATTATTGCCTGTGTATGTCACAGTGCTCTGTGCACCAAAGGAACATGCTGTGTGTGGTCCTAAATACAAGTCCTACCTTCCATTTAGATGCTCATTTTTACACAATTCCTTTCAGAACTATCTTAGATACACCGATACTTCCTTATTACAGGCCTGTGACCAAAAGCATCACCTGG